TCCGCTGGACCCCGCCCATCCCCCTCGACGGCGGATGATATCAGGCCCTTGGAGAGGCCCGCCAGGACTTCGAGAACAGGGCGCTCGAGGTCCAAGACGCCATCAGCTTCGCGGTCGAGGGCGAAGACCCCAATGCCTTCTGTCGCATAAATGGACTTCATCATCTAGCCAGGTGGCTCCACATGATTGCTAAAGCTCCTGATCGTTGGCGCGTTGTTGATACTTCGAAGGCAGCAGTTGTTAGCTGGCCTCGCAATCAGGCCTCGGCCTCGAGCTTCACGAAGATTGGACAGCTCATCTACTGGGGGGTGCAAGTAGCCACAGAAAAGCATGTAAAACTGAGGAGTGCACACCAATCCATATTCAGCAGCAAGAACTGCAGGTAGTGTCACACACTACATGTAAGAAAGGACTGCATCAGCCGTCCCCTGCCGGAGATTGCCTCGCTTGATGGTGCCCTCCAGCTCCGTGTCGATGGAGCGCTGGTGGTGCTGCCTCAGCCTCCTGCTCCTCCTCAGGGTGGCCTCCTCCTCCTCCTTATCTACTCGCGGGCCCAGCACGACGGGACCTGGAGCGACACCGACCTTCAGACGATCACGCTCTCATGATTGGCTACACAAGACGAGAGCTACTCGGTGCTGACTCTTAGTGGAGCTACTGCGCGGCCTGTGCTCCGCGTGTTCTCGTTGCTGATCCCTTTAGTCATCTTCATCTGGACTGCGTACCAGACTTGCATCTTCATCGGCTGTGCACGGCTCTCGGCAGAACGCCTGCTCACCTTTGCCATTCAGTGCGTGATATCCATCATTCCCTTCTTGGGGCTGGGAGTCATATCGGCCTATATCTGGCCCAGTGCGGCCCACTGGTCACGCGCACGCATGGCTCTGCTTGGAGTTTTCTCTTGGAGCGAGTCTGATGTTTCTTCCAAGCCGATTCAATATGGCCTAGAAGACAGTGAATCGTGGGCTTGGCCTGCTGTTATATCTCAGCCGCTCCTCGTTGGGCTATGCGCATGGATGGGCCAGTGACGGCCGGCACCTGCACCGATGACTGGCAGACTGACGAAATGAAGGCCCTGCTGCTCCGCCGCAGCAGACCTGAGTTGACAGTTTGTTTTTTTTCCCTCCCCTGATCTACCTGGTCGGGATGTGTGTGTGCTTCCTTTTCAACATATGATTGGACTCGTTTACAGTTCTCACAGAGTTTAGACGTGTCCTTACTTTGCACACACATATAAGCGTAGCGAACCATTCCATATTGCTTTAGGTTACTCTGAATGCCTGTACCAGCGTGACAGCTCGTGTTAGTGTAGGGACAGCCGCACGATAGCCGAGCCACTTCGAGGCAGACCACAGTCCTGACTGTTGTTTGTGTTTTCCCTCTCTTTTTCTCTCTTCTTCTCGTCTTTTCTTCCTCTCTCCGCGTCTTGTTCCCCGCACCCCTGGACCTGAAAAGCAACAGCTTGTGTAGCATCAGTTCTTACCAGTGTCATTTGATTGCAGTGCCGCTTCCCACGCCACATACATTTCATGTTCAGACCTCCGAGCGGGGGGGTAGGAGCTTGCTCAAGCCGACTTGTCGACGCATATACGTATAGGCTCCTGCTCGGCTGATCGGTGCAAGCCGCTTGAATTGGGAAAACGACGAAGCCCTGAAGCCTCCACGGGAACTCAAAGGTGGACTCAAATCAAGTTTGGTTAACAACTACTCATCACTAGTGTGTGTGTGTGTGCGCGTGTGCGTGTCAGTGCGTGTGAGTGTGTGTGTGTGTGTGTGTGTGTTTGTGTGGCGCGCGCTGCTCGCAAAGCGCAGTCACCGTTTTATGCTTTTCTGTACGCGACTCGCCTTGCGCTGTCACCCGTGTGCAAGGCCAGGTAGAAAACGCGTTTGGCGTGGCCTGCCTTAGTTGTTGGCTGCAGTGACGTCACACGGCCGGTCCTGAGGAAAACAGCATGACTCGCGTCTCTGCCCGTTCCTTCCGAGTCGCCCTCCTCTTCGCTTGTGCCTCCTGCGCCCAATTTTCCGGATCCCGTGGCCTGGTTTGCCGCTTTGACCGCGCTGGGTGCCCGCCGTCTGTGCGTTATGTTGATTACGTCTCGCGTATTTTCTGTCCTGCGCTTGCCGGTCTCTGTGTTCTGTCCCATGGTCGAGTATGGTCGGTTCAGCCTGGGACCTGCAGGCCTTGCTGCGCGTGTCCCGCGTCTTGTTAACCGAACCGTCTACTGGAGCTCATCGGCGCGTCGGAGGGGATATGCGCGTGGGTTTCATGTTTTCGTCCTGCGTCCGTTCGGTCGTTTCTGCTTCACGTCCGATTGAGCTCGACTTCGTTGGAGCCTCAGTTGCGGCTTCGCTTCCACGAGCTGGTGCTCAGCGCATCCTGCCTTCGCACCTTGTGTTGTGAACGGCCGGTTGCATTTTATCGGTTCGTCAGGGTAAACTGAGTATGTGTAAGTATGTATGTGCGTGCGCGCGCATGCGTATGGGTCTGTTCACCTTGCTCGCGCCTAACCCTAGCTGCTCGGCGGTCGGCTTGGTTTGACAACGGCCGGGACTTCCCAGCACTGTTTACGCTCCAACATAGGATGGCCATCAGTTTGCGTGCCTGGCCAGCCGTAGTTGAACTTTACCCGATTGCTGCTTCCACCACAGGGTGTGTGTCTATGTCTGCAGGGCCAGCCCTTCCACACGCAATGTTTGGCCTCGTGTGTGCTTGCTTCTTCGCTCCCCAAGTGCTGCGAGTCGCTCCGCCACAACATAGCTCCCTGCGACCGTAGCATCCAAGAATCCGCTGGTTTGGGCTCGCGTTTGTTCCTGAAGTGTCTGTGAGTTAGTCGCCGCCAGCTGCATTGGCCGATGCAGCTGTGCCGCTCAATTGGGGTCTCATTTGGCCGTTAATGCCAACAACGTATGTGTGCTAGAATGTTGCCCGCCAGCTGCGCGAAACACTTACCAGTTCTGGTGCATCCCACCCGCTTTCGTTGGTTGTCCTGCTCGTTTCGGGCAGCCACTCACCTGGCATAACACGGCATTTGTTTTCCCCATGTTTTAAGATGGGGTTCTTGTTAGTATGTAGACCGTGCGGAACACAGGAACACAGGAGAGAAGGAAGGGAGGAACACACCTCCCACCCTCAGGTCACCATTCTTTCTCGGACCCACCCACTTGTAGATTCATATTCAGACTCACTCATACTCAGATGCTCTCGCTCTGAGACTACTGAGACTCAGCTTTCTCATGCTCGGGTTCACTCACATACAGACTCACTCGCACTTCGAGTCGCTTCTCCTACTCAAGGTTGATCACACTTAGGTTATTCACACACACAGTCACACTCACTCAGAATCATACTCAGACTCACCCACACCCAGACTCATTCACACAAAGACTCACTCATATTCTGCCTCGCTCTTCCTCAATCAGACTCAGCCACACCACTTCCGCGCTCAGACTCGAACGCACGTGATGATGATGATGTCTCAGGCGAGGCGTTGGTTTCAGCCCTCCCATGGGGGGGCGCCAGGGGGTATTGCACGGGCCCGTTCGCGCCCAGATTTGGGGGATGTCTCGGGCGGTTTGCCTGTTTGGGTGCTCAACATCCTTCTCTTTCGGAGCAGTTCCGGAGGATGTTTCAGGCGAGGCGTTGGTTTCCGCATTCCCAAGGTGGGGCGCCAGGGGGTGTTGCACGGGCCCGTTCGCGCCCAGATTGGGGGGATGCCTCAGGCGGTTTGCTTGTTTTGGGTGCTCAACATCCTTCTCTTTCGGAGCAGCTCCCGAGGATGTCTCAGGCGAGGCGCTGTTTTCATCAGTCCCTAGGGGGGACGCCAGGGGGTATTGCACGGGCCCGTTCGTGCCCAGATTGGGGGGATGTCTCAGACGGTTTGCTTGTTACAACCTTCTCTTTCGGAGCAGTTCCCGAGGATGTCTCAGGCGAGGCGCTGGTTTCCGCATTCCCAAGGTGGGGCGCCAGAGGGTGTTGCACGGGCCCGTTCGCGCCCAGATTGGGGGGATGTCTCAGGCGGTTTGCCAGTTTTGGGTGCTCAACATCCTTCTCTTTCGGAGCAGTTCCCGAGGATGTCTCAGGAGAGGCGCTGGTCTCCGCACTCCCAAAGGGGGGCGCCAGGGGGTATTTCACGGGCCCGTTCGCGCCCAGATTGGGGGGATGTCTCAGGCGGTTTGCTTGTTTGGGTGCTCAACATCCTTCTCTTTCGGAGCAGTTCCCGAGGATGTCTCAGGCGAGGCGCTAGTTTCCGCATTCCCAAGGTGGGGACGCCAGGGGGTATTGCACGGGCCCGTTCGTGCCCAGATTGGGGGGATGTCTCAGGCGGTTTGCCTGTTTGGGTGCTCAACATCCTTCTCTTTCGGAGCAGTTCCCGAGGATGTCTCAGGCGAGGCGCTGGTTTCAGCACTCCCCAGGTGGGTGGCAAGGGGGTATTGCACGGGCCCTTTCTCGTCTTCACGGATGGATTTTCTTGACAGGTGTTCATAGGGAATAGAGGAGAAAAAGGAGGCGGACTAGGACCAGGAAGCAACTACACATGGTTCATTTCTAAGTATTCGAAAGTTCTTTGATTTTTTGGGGGGCCAGGGGCCTTTCATTCCTACTTGTTCTACCCTGGGTCTCTTCCTGGCCACTAGGGGGCCAGGAACAACTAGAAACGAGCACAATTTGAAATGAGCACGATTAGAAATGAGCGACGTGTGCTTTAAAGTCGTCGTAGTCGTCGGCGTCTCTCTCGGCCCCGTTTTCCACCTGGGTTCGCTGACACTCGGATATTGAAAAAGGACCATGTCTTCTACCGAAGTTTACCATCACTATGAGATGCACGTATGGGGATCGTAATTGTGTGTTGGTGCGTGATGTATCCATTTGCGCGAAGTTTAGCTCGCTGGTCGGCCGATGGTGCGCTGCCACGGAGGAGGAATCGCGTGCATTCTGATGCAATTCGGTCCGATGGCTGCCAGGCAAGGGGTCCGCATTGTCCCTCTGGCCTCTGCCCTCGATGGTGGCGGCCAGGGGCGCGGCATTGGACCACATGGTTGAGGAGGGCGGTGCGTCGACCAATTGCGAGGAGGCGAACAACGACGCTGGCGGGCCTGACATGGTGCACGCCATGCTGGACAGCCTCCGCGAGGAGGCGGCGGAGCTGTGGCACAAAGGCGGCGGCCCAGCGCTGCTCGAGATGGGGCAGCCCACCGCAGAGTACGCGCACCACCTCCAGCTGTTCACGCACCGGCTGCTGGCGGAGGCGCTGCAGGACATGCTCAACGACCAGACAGAAGGGTCTGTCGAGCCCACGGCGCCCGAGAAGGAACCCCCGCTGGCAGCAGACAAACCCGACCCGGCGTCGGCGGGGCTGGCAGGGGTGCTCGAGAGGCGAGACAAGCTGAGCGAGGTGCGCAAGAAGGATTCGCCCGAGGAGAGCGACGAGCTTGGCCAGGCGGCGCGCGAGCACGCGCAGCACGTGCAGCGGCTTCTCGTCGAGTCCAATCTGCGCGACGGGAAGCCGCAGCGCACGCTGGCCGCGGCCAGCGAGCGGCTGGAGGAGCCACTGTCGTGGGAGGCGCCTGAGCCGCGCGCCGGCGCCGCGGGGCCGCCGATCGCGAGACCTGCACTGTACGGCAACCTCTACCTCACAGAGCCGCCGTTGCGGCTGCGCTGCGTGGCCGACGGCTTCGCGACGGCGGCGGAGTGCCGCGAGGCGTGTGGCCACTGCATACAGGGCATGCACTGCATGTTCCGTCGCGGCGGGCAGACCTCGCTGGCGGTGTCCCGGGAGCTGCTGGGCCGCCGCTTGGGCGAGGAGGGCTGCCAGCTGGTGTGCCAGCTGGTGGAGCGGACGCGCCTGCGGATCATCCAAGACTTCGGCCTGCCGCAGGACGCGCCGGAGAGGCCGGCGCTGTTCGAGAGCGGCGGGTTGTTGACGCGGCTGCAGGCGGAATGGGAGCGGGACGTGTGGGAGATTAGCGGCGAGGATCCGCGCTTGGAACCCTTGCGCATCCACCAGAGGAGGAGCAAGCCCTGATAATTTTGCCTTCCTTTGACTCCTGGGAGGCCCTCGTCGCCAGGGTCGGACTCGCCTCGAAATTCTGCTCAGAACGCGCCCCAGGAGAGGTCCGGGGAGTAGCGGTATGGGTATCCTTCTGTCCCCCCCCGCTGGGGCCCGACATCCCAGCACCTCAGGGGGCAGTGGGTGTGCACATCCGAGGCCCGCCCCCCCCGAGGCCCCCGAGGCGTCCATATTTCTCCCCACCGCCTCCTGGGCGGGGGGTCCTACTGTAAGAGGTCGGTTCCCAAGGTCACGACCCACCAAACTACCCTTTAGAGGCACGGGTCACTGTCTCTCTCCAAGCGGGGGGCGGCGGAAGGTGGCGCCAGCCTAAACTGAACCTCTCTATTTTCTGCCTGAACCGTGAGCACGATGCCGCCAAGAGCGGCGGCAGAGGGTGACGGCGGTGTCTGCACCACAAAAATTTGAAATTATGAAGCAGACACCCGGCGGGTTGGGCCGTGCGAGACCTCTCTGACACAGTGTTTGGCACAGTCTTTGGCCCCCTTTTCCAGTGCCTGGTCAAAAACCTCCTGAAAGTCCCTCCGAGGGGGCCCCACTCTGCCGCCGGCCCCACTCTGCCGCCGGCCCCCTTCAAGGTCTCAAACGGCCCGGGGACGACCCAAGGGCGCCCCAAGCCGGTCCAAGAGAGTCCCGAGCAGTCCAAGAGAGCCTCCAGACGGTTCCAGATCGCTCCAAGACGCCTAAGATGGCCTCCAGACGGCCCAAGACGCTTCCAAGACGGCCCAAGAGGGCTCCAAGAGCACCCCAAGACAGCCCCGAGAAGCCAAAATCATTGATTTTTTCAATGGTTTTTGAAGGATTTTCACGTTCACGCCATTTCGGCTTACCCACGCTCCACGACGGCCCAAGAGGCCCCCAAAATCGCCCCATGACGGCTCAACAGGCCCCCAAGACGGCCCCAAGACGGCCCAAGAGGGCCCCAAGACCGCCCAAGAGGCCCCCGGGACGGCCCAAGAGGGGCCCCAGGATGGCCCCAAGAGGAGGCCCAGAAGGGGTACCCGAATGAACATGTCGAGCTTTCGGCTCAAGAGGCCCCCAGGAGGCCCTCAGCGGCCCCCTGGAGGCCCCCAACAAACCCCAAAAGAGCCCCAAGAGGCCCCAAGAGGGCCCCCAGAGGTCTCCAAGAAGCCCCTGGGACGCCCCCAAGAGGCCCCTAAACTGCCCCGCAGAAGCCCCCGAGAGCTGTCCGAAGAGACTCCTGCAAGCGTACATGAGGACTCTGAGCCACAACCCAGTCAAGGTGGCGGGATTACTCCCAGACGCCGAATATGGCCTCTAGAGTCTAGAGTCTGTAGGCCCTCACGCGCCTTCAAGGCGTCCCAAAAAACCTCAAAGGCCCCCAAGAGGGCCCGAAGCAGTTCCCAAGAAGCTTCCAGGAGGCTCCCCAGAGGCTCCTAAAATGCCCCGCAGAAGATCCGGAGAGCTGTCCGAAGAGACTCCTACAAGCGTCTATGAGGACTCTGACCCACAACCCAGGCAAGGTGGCGGGATCACTCCAAGACGCCGACAAACTCCCAGGGAGCGGCCGGTGATGCGCCGCCGGCGTCCTCGATCTGAAATTCTGAAGCAGACACCGTATCATGTCCCCACAGAGCTGTGACAAGGTAAGTGAACGGGGAGCGAAAGAGGGAAGGGAGGGAGGGAGAACTTGAGCGGAGAACACAAACATAACGTGTTATGTCAGAACGGCGCCCCCTGACTTTGCGCCGCCCCCGCCCTCCCCGCCCCGCCGACCACTTAGAAGACGGGGGAGGGGGAGGAGGAGAGAGGATCACGGCCCGAAAACTTCATTGTTTGCAACAACACACATGTAGAGGCACGGGTCACTGTCTCTCTCCAAGCGGGGGGCGGCGGAAGGTGGCGCCAGCCTAAATTGAACCTCTCTATTTTCTGCGTGAACCGTGAGCACGATGCCGCCAAGAGCGGCGGCAGAGGGTGACGGCGGTGTCTGCACCACAAAAATATGAAATTCTGAAGCAGATACCGTATCATGTCCCACACCACCGCATAGCTTGCATTAGCGCCTGGTTGTGGCGGCGTCTGGGCTGGGTGGGAGGGTTCGGGCACCTCCAACAGCCGTTACACGTTCACTGCCTCGGCGAAGCTCCAAAAAATCGATAGATCATTCACAATACGAAATGAATCACTCACGAGCCTTCGCAGGGCGACAACTCTTCTTCTGTATCAGTCGTCCCCGGAGCTCACGGATGTCTGGCGGGAGCGCGGCGCGGGCGGCCACCAGAGCGTGCGTCTTCATGTACCTGAGCACGCTCTTCTCTGAAGCCCACCGCCCGCGCCGCTGGATTGCCCACACCGTCCTGTAGCCCGTCGCCGCGTCATGACTCGGCCCCGAGTGCCTGGCAGCATGTGGCGGGAAGTGCTCGACACCGACATCGTCGCAGGCTCGCCTCAGCGCCCGGCGGTAGGCATCCACCGAGCAGCTGAAGACTCGGTCCGAGGGGCCTCGCTCGGGCTTCCTGCGCACGAGCATGTCGCTCACATGCCGACGGTCGATCAGCACGCCCTGCCTCGCGCCCGCCTTGGTCCTCTCGCCACGCTCGGTCACCCCGAGTCGTAGAGCCACGATCTGCTCGCCCGCCTCGTCCACGTCGACCACGATGTCGGCCGCCTGTAGGGCGAACAGCTCCGCGGACCTGAGGTAGGCGTCCAGGGCGACCTCGGCGGCGTCAGCGGCCTCCACGCTCCTGGCCAACCTCATGGCCTCGTGCAGCACGGCCCAGAGTTCGAGAGGCTGAGGTCCGCCTTCTCCTGCCACGTGCAGTCGATGCCAAGCTCGAAGAGCTCGGTTGGACCTCGGCAACCCCGTCGAGAGCTCAGGCCACACGTAGGCGAGCCCATGCACAACGAAATCTCCTCGGTGCGGGCCCACCTCCTCATCCTCGACCAGGCGGTCCAAGTAGCAAAGGACGGAGTCGTCGATCTCCTCCCGGCTTATCATCGGCCGGTTCACCTCCAGCGCGAAGTCCAGGAAGCGGCGCACGTTGGGAACGTAGCAGCCCAGCGCCGTCTTGGTGGAGACCGAAAAGGGCAGCAGGGCCAGCCCATGGGTAGCTCTCTCCCGCCGTTGCGCCCGCTGTAGATGCGAGCCCTCCGCGTCGTTCCTGCGGTGGGTGTTGCCCATCTTGCGGTGCTGAGCGTGGTGACGACGCCTCTCTTCACCGACGGCGTCCGATAGAAAAGGTAGCAGCAGCCCACCCAGGAGCACAGACCACCGCGGGCAACAGGACCTGCACGCGGTCCTGGCCGACGGTTGCTCATCATCCGAGTCGGGCTCCCTGGGAAGTGGCGAAAGTCGATGGTCAGGCGCCTGGTCACCAAGTCGAACCCGAAACATCGCAGGAAGATCCTCCAGCTACGTCCAGTGTTCCCGTTGTAGCCGCTGTCTCTCCGTCGGGGTCGCCTCTCGGAAGCTCGCAATGAAGCGATCCTTTTGATCTTGCGTCTGCCTCCACGCGCTGCTGCAGAGATCTCTCATGATGTCGGTGATCGTGTGGCGAGGGAGCCCGTTGATGAGTAGGCGCCTCAGGGCCTCGTTGGAACCGCTCAAAAGTACATCCGTCATGAAGGCCACGCACCACTCCTGCCACTCGGTACCGTCGGTGGCCCGCTGCGTGAGGTCGCTGTACCACTGCTGAGCCCAATCCCGTAGATCTTGCATCATGTCTGCGTAATCTTGTACCGCTTGCACTCGAACATCGTCGGGCATGGGCGGGGGCCGGCCCATCACACATGGGCCTTCGTCCTCAGTCAGCCCGAGGTTCGAAGGAAAGCTGCATGTAGTGACTCCAGCAACGTAGCGTCCCGGCGCCTGCGCTCCAGGGTCTCTGAGATCAACTGCTCCACGGCCCTCTCGGTCAGGTCGGCCTCCCGTCTCTCCTGCATGGTCAGCATCGCGTCCACGTGGCACTCCGCCAGCATCCTGCAGAAGTCGGAAGAGTGCGCCTGGGCCACCCTGGTCCGAAAACGGCCGCTCTCGTCCTTGCCGCAGAGGCCCGCCGAGTGGTTTCCGTGCACGCAGGGGCGCACAAACCGCTGCATCTCGAAGGCCGTCCCCGTGAGCGTCGTCAACTTCAGCGCGGGGCAGCCCCACATGCACTGCGGGAAGGTCACGCGGTAGGCGCCCAACTGCGCCTCCCAGTCCATCAGCTCCTTGGCCACGAAGATCGAAGGAAACGGCGGACAACCCGGATCGGCAGGATGCTCGACGGATACCGAGCCGCCCTTGAGGCCGATCGGCTTCAGGATCCTCAAACTGCTCAGCAACTGCGCGTTCCCAAGTTTCACCTTCCTCGCGTCGTCCCCTCGCAAGCCCGGCCGACCCCACAGCTGATGTCGCAGACGTAGCGGAGGGGGGCCTCCAGGCTGGAAGCGAACCCGCGACCAGGTAGAGCATAAAGGGCCTGAGTGTCCGCCGTCCGTCTCCACTTCCGCCAGCAGCTCCAGCCTCCGCACGTTGACCTCGTCCGTCAGGTCGAACTCCGACCCGAAGCCGATGTCCACGTTGGTGCAGATCATCAGGTAGCCCCGCGAGCCCGCGATCCTGAGCAGCCAGTCCTCCAGGTCCCCGATGCGCGTGTGGCCGCTGCAGAGATGGACGAAGCGCAGCACCTTCACCGGGATCGAGACGCCCATCCTGAGCGGCTGAAATGGGTCCACCTCCGCCAAGTCCACCAGGGCCTCGATTCTCGAAGCCACCTTCTCCGGCAGCACCAGCTCGTCCGTCCTCCGTTCCTTCGGAGCCTGGCCAATCGGAAAGCCTCGGCTCGGCCCGTCGCTGTGGTTGCGGTCCGACAGCACCCAGCGCCAGTACTCCCGCATGCCGCACCCGAGGTCGAGGGCGGCCATTCTCCTGCACAAAATCAGAATGGGCCGACTGGCCG